TTTTTTTTTTAAAAAAAAAAAGAAAAGAAAAAAGAACATAAAAAGAATGATTTAAAATGTTTGCTCTAAGGTCATCTCCAGTCTTTATCTCTACTCTAGCGCAGACTTTACACTACTCTAGATTAGAGTTGAACATTCATCTTCAGTCCTTATCTCTATATTTTACTCTACATCAAATATTTTTTATTTTTATTTCAAATAAATTGATATATATGTATATCTAATATTATATAAAATGTTAATTATTCAAATAATAAAAAAGTTTTTTTTATTTATTTTCATTTCAAATGAATTAGTATCATTATAATATTAAAAAATTGTAAAATAAAATCATAATACATCAATAAATAAAAAATACAAAATTATTTAGCATAAAAATATATCGGACAAATTATTTAGCATAAAAATTACATTTATTGATACACGTTATACAAAAATTTACAAATAATAATACACAAAAAAAAAACCAAAAAATTGTGGCCATACGCTATAGTGTTGCGCCATATTCATTCCTCTCTCTGGTGCAATTCTGGCGCGGCATTGAAGGAGGTTTTCTCGCTACTCCAGTGCAAAGCGTCTCATCTAGCACAGCGCTGGATGTGGTCTAAGAGTATTCAATTATTTCATTATCACTTTCTGTCAGAAGCCATTAATTCTTGAATCAGACTTGTGTGCTGATCCAACAACCTTAAAACCCTATGATAAGATTAGTTGATTTACACGGCCATGATGAGTTGGATTCTAGTGTTTTATTCATTCATTAATGATGATTGATAGGAATATAATTTTGATGTCATTATGATTTATGAATAAGTATCATTCATCCAACTGAAATATAAATATGAACATAATTTTGGAATTAACTAATCTCATCTTTTTTGGTACAATAAAGGAGGTCGAGGTCTAAAGATCGCTAAGATAACACACGACGTGGGCGTGCTACCCCTACAATGTCATAATTCAACCAATGACCAAGCTCCGGAGGTGAGGAGGCAAGTCTGTGGAAACCAACCGGGACACCCGCAGCCATTGAAGCTAATTTGTCCGCCGAGAAATTCCCTTCCTTTAACCCCCATAACTAATCTCATCCTTTAACTACACACCAAAAAAAAAAGCATTTATGTACAACCCCCATAATTTTATTTTTTAATTAATATTAAAAAATAATTTTATTATTGTTATAAAGATGAATATAAATTTTTTTTATACAATAAGAATGTTAAATCGAAGATCATCAAGAGATTATTAATTTGATATATTATATGTGTAAAACTGATAAAAAATACAAAAGTTATTAACTTTTAAAATACATTTACTATTCAACGATTATAATAAGAAATGATATTAAAATACAATTAATACATGTAACATGACCATAAATAATCAACATATTTATGGATAATCTGGACTTAATTATTTTTTGTTTTAGAGTAAATTAAAATTTACGTAAGCCTAATAACAAAGTATGTAATTTTGTCACATAAGATCCTGAAACATGCGAGTTTCCTACTTAGGCACAGCCAATTGTAGATTAATATATATGGGGAGGGGGATTACCTAATTGCAAAATGAACTTTTTATTGTACCGAAAAAATTCAATTTTTTATCCATTATTAATTTGTCTGAAACAATGCTAATTACCTAAAGGTTAAATTGTAAAATATAGTCAGTATCTTGTACGTGGTGGCAAGAATAGCCACCATCTTTGCGAATTGACAATATTAGCCAACAACTTTTAAAATTTCGAGATTATTACCCAAATCCAACCAAATTTGACAGATAAATCGCAAAATATAGTCAGTATCTTTTTACGCATTGATAACAATAGCCATCGAATTTGGTCGGACATGGGTAATAGCCCCAAAATTTTGAAAGTTATTGGCTGATATTGTCAATTCGTAAAGATGGTGACTAATATTGCCACTGCGTACAAGATAGTGGTTATATTTTGCAATTAAACCTTACCTAAATGGAAAGCCTCACAATTAACCATAAGGCCGATGTTACACAAATACACTTCGTCGCATTGTATATGTTGTAAGCAGCTCATCTTATTCAACACATTCATAGCCTTTTATTTGCTCCCCTAGTTTTATTTAATCACAAATTCTGGATTTATGGACGAGCCAAACAGTCATATTCCTAAAAAAAATTATATTTATGCTGTATGTACTATATTTTTTCGTAATTTTTTTATAAAGTATAACAATTGCATATATATATATATATATTTGAAAACTTTACAACTAGCACCACCATTAACGTTATTTTATAAGTAGTATATACAAAAAATTAATTAAAAAAAAAAAAAAAAAAAACTTTCCCACTCTTTTTTGGGGTAATTATGACAAAAACTCGTTACATTTATATTAATTAAGTAATAATTATATTTTTAGTAAAAATCCTTTAATAGTTATTATAAAAACTAACTATTTATATTTTACACTAAATCGTATATGAAAATTACACAACCATTAAAAAATAATTATATTGTAGAATTTTTCTTCAATTTATTTATTATAAAATCAATATTATATTTTAGTTAATCACATTAAGAGAATAGATATTTTTAAGTAAACTAATTGGATTTAATGATGTAGCCAAAACTCTTTCAAATTGTATAAGAAATTGTTAGAATAATAAATTTAATTTTACAGTTAATTAATTAGTCACGATATCTTGAAATTATAGTGTTTATTTTTAGCAATATTCAAATTTTCAAAATATAATGTTGTTTCATAACTTAAAAGTTCTATAGTATATGCATACATATAATTTATATATTGTATTTATATTTGTGGATACACATAATATGATCAAATCTTTATGTGTGTGTGTATATATATATATATATATGGTTTGTAGCAATCTATTAAATAAAACTTCATAAATTATACCTACGCGGCACATGACTTTTCAATAACTGATTTTGTTAAGTAAGACAAAAATCGTTACGTTCTATTAGTGACGGAACTAGAAAATTTAATGAGGGGGGGCCAATTTTAAATGTTAAATAACAAGCTTGTAGTTTAAGTCAAAACACTCATTTCATATGAAAATGTATTTACTATAAATATAAATATTGATGTGTACCATTAAAAACTTACAAGTTGTATCACCTTCAAACTTTTTTAAATAATAAACAAAAAAAAAAAGAGATTTTATGTATTCAAAATTTAAGTTCTAGTGTCTATAATTTATGAAAATATAAGTTTTTTGTTGAAAATTTGATTCAAAGTGAACTTTTACACAACATTCCATAGCATTTTTTTCATGAAAGATTATCAAATGATATTTTTTTTAAAAAAAATAAGGTTAAAAATATGTGATTACAAAAAAAA